GTAGATTATTCCCACGGTGTCCGTTGATAGCGGTCTTAACTTCAAAAATACCCCGTTCATGATCATACTGAAGAAATGAATGCCACTGTGCCCGCCTCCTGTACCTTTCAAATCTTGTCATGGGTATTGGCATAAATTCAACACCCCTGTCCATCAATGACGATGCAGCTGCATGCCTTTCAACAAACCTCTCTGCACTCTGTTTGAAAGTCATGCGGACCATGGCAGTGACAGGCAGTCCACGGGCAGACTTCAACAAGCCGTTGAATGACTCCGACACGTTTGTAGTGAGGGCTCCCCATCGTCTGCCGCCATCAGCATGCAATGTCCACATTTGAGGGTCATGTTGCATCAACCAAGTATTGGCTCGTGGTTCTATCTGCCGGATCGCTTCCATGCGCCTCGTGAATTTACACTGCTGGTGCTCAGTTGCAGCCATCCACATTAAGTCATGTAACGCCTTGTCAGGAAATTTCTTCTGGAAATTGGCCTTCAGGTGCCTCACACAGTAACGGTGGTATGCATATGGTTCCTGCCATTCAGGCAAGTGACGTACAGAACTTAAAATACCACCATGCCGATCAGATATTAGACAAATACCTGAACGCTGTTTGACAACGTACTGCTTCAAGTGGTTCAAGAACTGCGTCCACGTCTCTTCACTTTCGTTGGCACAAATGGCAAAAGCTAGTGAAAATATTTGTCCGTTGGCATCTACAGCAACTGCAATCAAAAGCTTAATATCATATTTTCCATAGACATGAGTACCGTCTATGGAAATTACAGGACGGCAATGCACAAAACCATCAATTGCTGGTTTAAATAACCAAAATACATAGTTGAATATATCTTTCGGTCTGTCCGGACTTCGCTCACGCCTCCATTCAACAACAGTCCCGGGGTTAAAGTGTTGCAGTGCAGCCATGTACCTGGGCAGATTTGAAAAAGACTTATCCCAGTCGCCATAAATAAGTTCAAAGGCATGCCTTTCTTTTGGTTATAGTACAACCATACTCCTGGTGGACGGCTGTAATATACTCTTTAATCTTGAACCTAATGGACACTTCCAAAAATGGAATCAAGACAAGGGAAATCAAGTCCACATCCAAGTTGAAGTGATTCTCATTGAATGTGTCCATTTCACATCTGTGCTCGCTAATAAATTTATCCACTTTCCACAAACCTGATTTCTTCTTTGTGGCACGCAGCATCCAGTGACAACCCATAAAACACCTACGGCATACAACCTTGTATTTCTCCGTAGTTGACTCACTTACCGTCATCTCACGACACTCCCTTATACTGTAGATTTTTACAGCCCTAACTAGGCGAGCTTTATCGGGGAAATACATGCCCTTTGTAAAAACAGCCGGTCTAGATTCATCCCACATCACTGACCGTAATTCATCATCATCCCTTGTTAGGGCATCAACGTTAGGCATGCTTGGCAAATTATCAAGGTAGGGAATATTTTGCTCATGAAATGGCACGTGGGACTCATACACTCTTGGTCTAGCGGGAGGTGGAGGAACATGCTCCCTAGTCAGCTCAGGTTCAACATTCACTTCCTCCTCCTCATCATCACCCTCATCATGGAAGGGTGTCTCATCCCCAGACTCATCTGCATTGTTGTCATAATCACTATCATCCTCCTGACTTTGCGCATCTGCCAAATCACGAGTAAAAACGTCGTCTATGGGCAACTGTGTGAGGCCAGGAGCTTCAAGAAGCTTGTTTTCACTGCACAAAACGAACAAAAACCTAAGTTACCCAATACTCAGGAAAAATACTTTAGATATCGCTATATCACTTTACTTACAAATCGTATTGTCTTGACGTTTCATGATGGATATTTTCAGGTTGGTGATAACTCCCAGATGGACCACCGTGGTCTACGTAGATTCCAACTAGGGGCGAGGTCATAACTTGTAAAATTCAAATCCGAACGGTACCCCCTATAAAAAATATGAGTGTTAATACAAATCCAATTAAAACATGAAAAAAAAATCGCTAAAACGTAGTAAAATTGAAGTTTACCAGTCGTCTTGTTGATATATAAAGTGAAAAAATTATTTTCTAGTTGCTCATTCGCCTGTGGTGACAAGTTTAAATCAAGGCAAGCTCTTTCATCTCCAATCTGTCCAGCAAACGCTGCTCCAGAATAACCACCCGATGACTGGGGGTTATCCCTGCTATGCACGCCCTCATTACTAGGACGTCTTCCACCTTGACGTACATTTCCGATAATTTTATTACAATAAATTCCCTGTATTCATCCGGAATCCGCAAAAAATCTCTAAGAGTTTCATCATCCTCGATGTTAAACTCAGAATAATAAGCAAATCCCTGCGGAGTCACTGAATAAGGAAATCTACCGGTTACTTTAAGGCTAACCGAACGCCTCCGCTCACTCATTTTTTTACGTAGCAACGATACCAATGTATCGTACTCCATATTAAGCGGCAATTTAACATGAAACTGTGGAGGTGAGCTATACCTC